CTTTCATTAGGGTCCCGGTAGGAACGAAGGCCGGCTGTTGCTCGCCGGCCCCCTAAAGGGACGCTTCGGACTTCCTGCTCGCGCCCCCCCCGTCCGATGCTGGGGGATGTTGTTTTATTTTGAAACAGCAAAATTTTGTTTTGGACGGTGGGGGGCCCGCATTTTCCACTTGTGTGGGCTGCAATCTTGCTTTAGACTGGCCTAGCCTAGGGCTGTGCTGCTCTGGGAGGGGCCTCCCACTGCCTGCAGGGGACTCCGCGTTTCAGGAACTAGGACTGGCCCCTGCCTGCCTGCCTTCCGACGGTCCGGTCGCTTTCCCCTTCGGTCTCCTGTCTGGGGAGGAGCCCACCTTGAGGAGGGAGCCGGCCCTCCCTTCGCCAACAGTTTCCCCTGGGCTTTGCATCTTGAAGGGGGTCTGGTTGCGTAGGATGCCGGGTCTGTGCAGAGCAACCCAGGGCTGGCCAGTGGGGTGTCACCGCAAACGGCCTCCTTGTGCCCCGGTTCTGCAGGCGGAGGGATGGCAGGAGCTCCGTGCTTCCTCGGCCTGCCGGAGTGCTCACCCTGGCAGAGATGGCGGAGGGAGAAGGGAGGTCCCCTCTGACTGTGGGGTCTCTCCCCCCCTCCTACCGCCTGCTGGTCCCTAGGACTCCCTCCTAACCAGCTTCTCTCCTTCCCTCCTGCTGTGAGGGTCTCCCTTGGAAATAGCTCCCACCCATTCCCTTGGGGGTGTCAGCTGCTCGCCCAGCTGACTAGGGACCCTTCCTGACGTGTGGGGCCCAGGCCCTACACTTCGTGGGTCAGGCTGAGCCCTTTGGCTGGGATGTGGAGCAGGAGGGGGAGCTCGGACTCCCCCTGGAGGCAGCGGGCCGGGGGGGACCCTCTTCCAGATGCCGCCCGTCCCCTCCATGCCCTCTGTCGCTGAGGCTGGGGCCCTGCCAGTTATGGAGCACAACCTTCCCCATTGCAGCCCTAGGAAGTGTATGAACCCCCTGGGTGCCAGAGAGGGACTGGCCAAAAGCTGAGGTCTTCTTAAAAGGGGAGGGGGGGAGGGCTCCCCTCAGGTGGTGGGGCTGGACAGGGGGTTCTAAATCTCATTTGGGTCTCCCAAGCCTGCTACGGCGCAGTAGACCTTTTGCGGATTTCTGTGTTGTCTCTTCCATGACCATGTTGTTGCGTGTCTGCATTTTTTCCCCGGACTGTCAGATCTTGTTCTGCCATTTTTCTGTTGTTCAAACGTTGACCAGCTTCTGCCGAGTCGCCGGTGATCCACCCGAGGGTCTGTGACCCACCGAAGGCCCCCACCCGGCCCCCTTGGTTTTGTCCCCAGGACCGTCAACCCCTGAGGCCAGCCAGGTTTTGTGTGTCTGTCTGTGTGCAAGAGAGACAGAGAGAGAGAGAAAAGAAAAAAGACTCTTCTCGGTTTGGCCCAGCTTCTTGGCGGAAGGTAGGGGGAGCCAGTGCTCGCTCAGGCAGAAGGACGGATGCTTGTTTTAGATACTGCAGGAGTATGCCTTAATTTAAGCCATTTTATAAATAATGTACATGGAACATTTATTTTACAAAAGCAAATGAATCAATAAAACTTGACAAAACGCAAAAGTCGTTCAGACGCCAGGCTCCTGAGTGGTGTTTGAGTCTCCTCTGTTCTGGCTTTTGAGTCTCTGGTTTGGGCGAGGCTCTCCTGGGGAGGGGTCCCCTGCTTCAACAGGAGGGGCGCTGCTGGAGGTTAGCGGCGGTTCGGCGGTGAAGGAGAGAACCGGAACGCCCACGCGGTGCCCACCAGGGTGGGCAGGAGGGGGTGCGATTGGGGTTGCCCCCAAATCTTTTGTCAGGAGACCCGCTACAGGGTCTCATCCCCTCCTGCGCTCTCCGTCCTTATGGCTGCAACCATGCCGCGGTGTGCCTGGGACCGGGCGCTGGGGGGGGGCTTTCCATGGTCGAGCGTCTGTGGGGAGTCTCCCCAGGGATGCTGAGTGCCCCCACCTGAACTGGGCGGTGGTGGTGGGGGAACCTACGTGCCCGGCTTGGCCTGGGCATCCTCAGTACAGGCTGTGCTGCTTGGCCGCAGTGGGAGAGTCAAGCCTTGGCACGGAGGCGCACCCCCCCCCTTTTGTCCGAAGGGGTTCTTGGGTTACCTGCTTGCTTTTGAAAAGGATGTGAAAAGGGGTGGGTGATTAGCGGGCAAGGTGCGGGGGGGGGGAGCTGGTACAGAAGTGGCAGAAAAGGAGAGCAGAGGGGGAACCAGAAAGACCAGTTTAGCCAAAGAGTTTTTTTGTAAAAGGCAACCAGGGGTGGGGGTGGCAGTGGGAGGGTGGGTGGAGTGCATACAAAATTGTGAGCCTGGTGGGTCAGGCCGGTCACCCCACCCCACCCCCCCTGTTTGGTCCAGCATTGCTGGCTACTGGAGGCACACACTCAGGGGGGAGCTTTGGACCCTCAGGGCCAGTGGGGGGGGTATTGATCCAGACCCCCTTCTGCGCTTCTTTGCTTTCCACCAACCCAGGGGGAGGTGGGTGGGGTGCCTGGGCAGGGAGTCCCTCCCTCCCTCTCCATCCATCTCAGCCTCTTGGGATGAGGGCTCAGCAACACGAAGGCATTGCCCGCGCCCCCCAAGGTGGGGCGGCTGACGGGTGGGCCGGGCATGTGGTTGGGTGGAAGGCGGTGGCCATTTCTGCTGCTTTGGCTTCCTGCAGGAGGCGAAGGCGAAGGAGGTTCCCCGGCGGGGCCAGCGGCTTCCCTGTCCCAACCGAGGAGGAGGTGGGGGGCCCTGCCGCGGCCCCTGGACTTTGCTTCAGCTTTCTTTCAGCGTTGCGGGATTCCCTCCGCTGGTCTTGAGGTTGACAGGGCTTTTCTCTCTTTGCAGAGCTCCTGAGGCTAACCTTGGGGTTCTCCGGCTTGGGAGGCAAAGGGCCACACGCCGGCTGGCCGGTCCAGGGGCCCACCACTCCCCGATCCACCTTGGGCTGGCGTTGCTGCACGGGAGCCTCAGAAAGGTCAGGCGAGAGTCGAGGGGCAACTGAGCTTCCTCGGGGGCCGAGGACTGGGCACCCGGGCTTCTAGGGGTCCCCCTCCGGGGGGCGGCTGAGGCCTGTGGGAGATGGTCTCTGGGGTGCCCTCTGAGTGGCTCGTGGCCCATCTCACCGGTCGCCCCCGTGGCTCACCAGCGGCCTCCGGGGTTTCTACGCTTTCTCTGGCGACCTCTTTCGGGGGCCTCGGCTGCATGAGAAAGGGAGCTTGCCCGACGGAATGGTGGCGGGCCTGGCGGCTGGGGTGTCGGGGAAGCCTGTGCCCGGCAGGGGCTTCGTCTCCTCTTCCTCCTGTCCCGGCCAGTTCAAAGGCTCTGGGTGGGAACCTCCCTCTGAGCTGGGACTGGCAGGAATCGGAGGCCCAGCGGACGACAATGGGCGCCTGTGTTCGGCCCGCCTGAGGGGTGGCGCTGGGCGAGACAGGGCTGCTCTGTCTTCCAGCTTGGCCGCTGTGGGCGCCGGGCCCCTCTCCGCCCCTCCTCTGCGTATGTGCTCGCTCACACCCACCCACACACCCCTTGCTCAGCCCCAGTGAGAACTGGCAGGCTTTCCCCCTTGAAGTCGTTGGGGCTCCTTTTCTTGGGTCTGAAACTCACCCCCAAAGCCCACTTTTTCAGCCTCCCCCCAAGAGTTCTCCCTCCCTCCCTCCCCCCTCTCTCTGGGGCGCCTTCTACCTGCACGGCCTGCCGGATGTTTGGGGGTGCAGCTCCTGGGCTCTGGGGCCAAGAGCCACAGCAGCTCAAGGGGGGGCGCTTGGGGGGCCTTGTGAGTCCCTATCTCTCTCTTCCCTTCACCAGCCCTTCAGCTCCCTTTGCCGTGACCCCTAGGCCCCACACAACGCACCCCCTCCAGAGAAAGGCACTGCCCAGGTGGCTCCTGTGCGGGCAGGGGCATCTCAGGGAAGGTGGAGGCATTGGGGGGGGGATCTGTGGAAGGAGCAGCCCGGGGGAGCCCGGCAGGGAAGGAGGGGGTCCTGGACCAGCAACGGGGCCCCATGGAACCTGCCCCCCCCGAGCCCAGGAAGGAATGCTGGGGAGGGGGACAAAGGTGTATGTAGGTGTCGGGGAGGGGAGAGGGGCCACTGCAGGGCTCCCTCTGGGGTGGCCCCGAGACCGGTCTCAGGGCCACCCCAGGAAATGGGTGCCCCAAACAGGGACTCGCGCCTCCCTCTCTCACCAGAGATGCTGCCTTCTCCCCCTTCTAGATTGCTGTGGGGCTGCCATGGGGCCCTCGGCCGTCTCGGCCAAGCCGGCGCTGGAGCGCGAAGCACCAGCGCTACCCCCTGCGAAAGGCCGCCCCCTGTGCGTTCGGAAGACCGTGGCCGCCCTCCTGGCGAGCGCTCTCCTGGCGGGAGGTGGCGGGGTCCTTGTGGGTGAGTCCCTCGCCCGCTTGGAGCATGGATCTGGGCCGGGAGCCCTTTCGGGGCTGCTTCCTCCACATGGGGCCAGGCGCTGGAAGGGCCAAATCCCCAGGGGCAAGAGCGGAAGGCGGCCTGTCAGAGGCCCAGTCTCGCCCGCCACGGGACCCCCCGCCCGTCCTCGGGTGTCCCCTTGGGGGTGTCCTTCCGCCGCCGCCCCCCCGGAGTTCGGAACTCGTTCCCTCTCCTCCTCCTCTTCCCCAGCCTTCCTGGCGCAGCGTGAATTTGCCGTGGAGCACGTGGCCGAGTTGTGGGGGATTCCTTACGAGAGCAGCCTGGAGCACCCGGGCTCGGACTACTCCCGCATGCTCACCCCGGTTCTGGAGGGACTGGTGAGTCCGGAGCTGGCGGGCAGGGAGGCCACGGGAGGCTCTTCCTTGTGGCCCTCTGGCAGGAGGTTGGGCAGGAGGGGGCACCCTTTGCCCCATGGCAGGCAGGATGCCCCCCCATGCACTGGCTCTCCTCCGCCTTGCAGTTCCGAAGCAGCTTCCAGAATTCCTCCCTGGAGGGCCGCTGCGCCCGCTGCTCCGTCCTGCAGTACAGGTGAGGCTCCCCCCGCCTTCCCTGATCCTCCGAGGTTGCGCATGGGGGGTGACAGTTGGCCGCCAAAGGGCCCGACAGAGACCCCTTTGCCCCCCTTGTTGGCAGGAGGGGCAACGCCAGCGTCCTCGTCCGCCTCCGCCTCTGGTTCTCCACGGAGCCGCCCAGCCCTGCCCAGGAGGAAGAGGCCCTGATCCGGGGGCTGGCGGCCGCCCTCGGAGGGCAGGGGATTGCCTTGACCACCTACGGCACCCTCTCGTCGGTATCCCTCGCAGGTAGGGCCCCGGGGGGGGGGCTCTCTTTCGGCCCTGCCTCCAGGTTGGCCAGGGCCGTGTGCGCCCCACGGGAGGGTGTGGGCTAAGATGTCCCTCCCCCCCAAGAGCATCTCATGGTGGCCGAGAGTGGGCTTGATTCAAGACCCCTTTCCATGTCTCAGTCCAGCAAGGGAGCTCCACGCCCCACCCAGAGGCCATGAGCCCCGCTGGTGCCCATGCAGGCAGGCCCTCGGGCCGTGGGAGAGCGTGGCCCGGTCAGGGTCTTCCCTGGGGGGCAGCTCAGCCTTTCCCTGCCTCACCTTCTCTCCCGCTTGCAGGCAGCTTCTCTCCCTCTGGGATGGCTCGGAAATCAGGTAAGCGGCGCACCTTGGCTGGCTGGTGAATCCGTCTCCGCCCAGGGACCCCAAGGGCGACAGTGGCCTCTTCATGTGGGCCTGCTGGGCAGGGGTTCCGGCCCCTCCGCTGGTTGCCCAGAGCAAAAAAGCCACAGAGGAGGAGGATGTGGGGCTAGTGTCTCCCCTGCCCCCAGGGTGGGGGTAGGTGGGGACGAGACGGAGGGATGTGGGACAGATCTTGCCCCCCCGCCTGTGCTCTGCTTGCAGGCCGGTGTCCTGGGAGCGCCTTTCCCTGTCGGAGTGGCCAGTGTGTGGTGGTGCAGAACGCAGAGTGCAACGACCGC